CAGCTCAGCTGAATGAGCTGAACCGCTCCCTCAGTCGCGCGGAGGAGCATCATCAGTCTCACCCACTTCGCTCGACATGGGTGAGAGTTGTCTGGTTGAGATTCTTTTGGAGACCGCCCGGCCCCCGAACTCAGGCACCACAAAAGGCACAGGGGGCACAGCAGAGGCGACCCCAGAAACGAAAACCCGCCGCAAACCGCTGCCCGCAGCCGCTGCAGCCGCCCCCCCCCCCCCCACCCACCCACCCCCACCCCACCCCCTTAGACCAGGCTTTTCTTCTACTCAGACTTGGGGATGTCAAATGACCACACAAAACAAAACAAAACACCGCCGCGTCAAGTTGGACGGGCGGGTCTCACCTTCGTCGCCGCTGCAAGAGCCGCAGTAGCGCGCCCATCAGCGCGCTCGTCAGCAGCAGCACCGCAGCGCTGCGCGCGGTGCAGATGCGCTTCTCCAGGCGGCTCGGGCTGCGGCACGCCAGAGCTGCGGCGTGGAGCGCATCGAACTGCTCGTGGAAGAGCGAGAGGAGCTTGGCGCCTGAGGACCACACGGGCGAGCTTCTCGAAGAGCGCAGGAGCCGCAAAAGCGCTACCCCCGGCTCCGAGAGGCCTCCGGACCCCGCTACACCCACTCCCTAATGCGGCGCCGTCAGCTCGCTCCGGGTCCGAGGAGAGGCCCACGCGGAGTAGTCCGTTGTATGTGAGCAGGGTGATGACGGGGAGGCGGCCGATCATGCCCGTGACGCTAAAGTTCATGTCCACCACCTTCCCGTGGACGCGCGGGAGTCATGGACGACCCGTGAGGCTGATCTTTTCGGGCGTGTTCGTGCATTACGCAGCCGGGGCTTCGCACGCACTCTGGGTCTATACGAGTCTCGGCCCACCTTCTCGCCGACGATGCGGCAGCTGGTCGGCGGTCCTGGGACGTTGGTAAAGACGGCGGAGAGCTTCCCCAGCACCAACAGCGCGTTCTGGTAGATTGCGCTGGCGGGCGCCAGGCGCGCGAGCGGCCCGCTATTGATTGCCATCGAGATTGGGATCTCCGGTGAGCGCTTGAGCCGGTCGAGCTCCTGCTTGGCGAGGGCGAGAGCCTACGTGCTCATCGTCGCGGGGTGTCGAGGAGTGGTGCCTGAGGCCTCGAGCATGCCCGAGGACTCTGCTGACAGGGTTTGTATGAGGAGCGATTCCGAAGGGTTTCTCGGGGGGTTTTAGCCTTTCCACGTCCTCCTGACCAGTGCTTACTTCCCCCGGAATTGGGCGACGGCGTGCGTCCCAAACTCGCCGGCCGCTCGCAAGTGCTCCAAGTGCTCGCGCGCAAAAATGGGGGTCGCTTAGCCTGTCGTACCCGAGGCATGGCTGGCGTTGCCGCGCCCTTCAAACAACAAAAACTGCACCTGGCGGGGCCCGCCTCTGCACATTCTTCGGCGGGCGCGGCTGCGTGCAAGCTGAGGATCATCCACGTGAACGACGTGTATCAGCTGAAGAATTTTCCAAAGCTAAGCACACTCATCAAGGAGCAGAGCGAGGGCTTGCCAAAGGGAAACGTCATTGTCACGCTCGCGGGCGACTTCATCGCACCGTCGCTGCTGTCGGCGCTTGACCACGGCGCGGGCATGATCGAGCTGATGAACAGCGTGGGTGTAACGCACGTGTGCTTTGGCAACCACGAATCCGACGTGCCCTACGAAAGCCTCAAGCAGCGAATCGGCGAGTTCAAAGGGAAGTGGATCAACTCGAACATGCCGGAGTTTGATCCGAAGCTGCCCGAGTTCGACGTCCTCAGCCTGACGGACGAGGCGGGCGTGGCCGACGCGCGGGAGGTGGGGCTACTCGGGCTGCTCATTGGCGGCGTTGACCGCGGCCACAACTTTGGCGCCAACTATCGCGAGGGCGCGCTCGGCGGCGGCGCGGCGAGCATCGTCGCGGTGATGCAGGCCCACGCGGAGGCGGCGGCGAAGCTGCGCGCGGCCCACCCCAATATCGACTGCGTGATCCCGCTAACGCACCAGGACCAGAAGGAGGACGAGGAGCTTGCCGCGACGGGCGAATACGCCCTCGTGCTCGCCGGCCACGACCATGATCACACGATCACAACGCACGGACCAAAGCAGACGGCTGTCGTCAAAGCGGGGCAGGACGCACACAACGCAGTCGTGTGCGACGTCACGTGGGCTGCGGGTGCGGCGCGCGGAGCGCGGCCCGAGGTGACGACGACGACGCTCAAGGTGAAGTCGTACGAGAAGGACGCCAAGATCGCCGCCGCCGTGACTCGCGCGGAAGCGCCTATGCGAGAGCTCGAGAGCGCCACGCTCGCGCTGCTGCCCAAGGTATGCATCGGCCTGCCGGACGTTGGGGCAGTAATACCTTCGTCCAAGGGCGCGCGGTACGGCCCGTGCTCGATGGCGTGCTACCTGGCGGAATGCATGCGCGTGTGCGTCTCCGCAGACGTGGCCCTCTTGAACTCGGGCGCCGTGCGCGCCGACACCCAGTATGACTCCGTCTTCACGTACGCCGACCTACAGAAGGAGTGCCCCTTCCCTTCGGAGTGCATCGTCGTCTCAATGCCTGGCAGCGTGCTCGTCGAGGCGGTGCGCGAGTCGCGCAAGGGATGGCTCTCGAAAGGCGGTCCCACCGAGGAGTCGGGCGCGCTCCAGGTCGACCTCGGCTGCAAGTGCGACGAGAAGCACACGATGTACCAGGCGGCGAAGGCGCCGATCAACGCGTCTCGCGTGTACTCTGTGCTGGTCGACACGTACGACCTCGCCAAGGACCCCGTACTATCCAGCTACGCGAAGGCCAACCCCGACAAGATCCCGCCGGCCGATGCCGGACGGCCGGCGATGACGGTGCTCGTCGAGTACTTTTGCCGCGAGATGTGGCGCATGATGGGCGACGCAGACGACGACGGCGAGATCACCGACGCCGAGATCGACGCGCTCTTTGACGAGTGCGACGCGGACAACTCGGGGGCCATCGATGCGGCCGAGCTCACCGCCGAGCTTGCCAAGAAGGTGGGCGACGGCGCGTCGCGCCTCGTGGCAAAGCAGATGATAGCGCTCGTCGACAAGGACGAGAGCGGCACCATCGACCGGGCTGAGCTCAGTGCTGCGATGAAGAAGCTTGCCGCGGGCATGAAGTGGTGAGACCCAATGACCTTCCACATGGTCCCTCGGGTCCCTGCTGCTCCTAATATCTCTTCGTACATCCCCCTGCTGATCTCCGCATATGGTGTACTTATGGAGTATCGACGAGTAAGCCACCAACGTGTACTGTGTTATACCATTCTCGCCGTTTTCTTTTCTATTTTCTTTTCACGAGCTGCTCGCTCGTGTCGTGTTTTTCCGTCAAATTTCAGACTAGCTCCGTGGCGACGGCGGTGGTGGGGATGAGGATGGCGGCGGAGTGGGCGGTCCGGTCTCCTCCTCCTCCTCCCCCTCCTCCGCCGCCGCCGCCGCCGCGATTGCCGCCTCTATGTCCGCATGCATGCTCCGCCAGCGCGACGAGGCTCGCAAGTGCGGCCCAAGTAGACGGAACGACGCCAAGTGATGGATGAGCGCCGCGGGGACGAGCACGGCGGATGCTCCGGCGGCCCCCACCGCCTCTCGGAGCGTCCGCACGCAGCGTTGCGCTACCGGCTCCTCCTCCGGCAGGCCGCGTTCCGCCAAGTCGAGCAGTGGGACGGCCGCGCGGAGCGGCAGCACGACAGAGCGTGCGCGTGCGCGCGCCCCTACTCGCCCTGCCAAACACAGGGTAGGGTGCGGTGGCGGCGTCGTGAGAGCGCCGCTCCGGAGTCGTGCGAGGTCGAGGGTTGGGAGGCCGCTCAGCAGAGAGTAGGTCGAGCCTGCTGGACGGCCTCCCTCGGACGAGACGAAGGAGAGGACCAGCAGGCTGCGGCGGCTGCGCGATTTGTTGGCGCCGCCGCGGTGCCAGAGCCTCGAGTCCATGAGGAGCGCGTCGCCGGTGCGCAGGAGGGCGAGCTCGGTCGGGCGGTCGCGCAGAACGGCCGGGAAGTCGGACTTTGGCTGCAGCGAGAGCAGGCTGTGCTCCTCGCGTTCGTGCGTGCGTGGCCAAACCTGAGTCGGCCCCATCTCGGCCGTGATGTCCTGGAGTGCCACAAAGACCGAGACGAGGCGGCCGATGGCGACGTCGGCCGGTGCGCCCTGGTAGGACGTGTCGCAGTGAGTGGGCTGCGCCTCTGCGCCCGGATCGGAGCTGATGACGGACAGCTCACACAGATTTGCCGCCGCTCCAACAGCCGCCTGCAACGACTCGCCCAGCGCCTGCGCCACCTCACACAGGACCTGTGTCACTGCCGGCGCCAGCGAGAGCTTGAGGTCTCTGCGGTAGAGCGGCGTCCGGATCTCTCCAAAAAGATCACGCTGAGCGTCGAGGTCCAGGTCGAGCACACGTGCGAGTGCCTCGTCTGCGTGAGCTCTGAGCCGCTCGCAGGAGGCCGCCAGCGCAGCTCCGCGACCGTAGGCAAAGCCATCGCGCTCGAGGGTGGCGGATAGGCTGCTGGCTGGTGCCTCCATATATGTAGTGCGCAAGCGTAGAACGAGCGGCGGCCTGGTTGGCTACCGTTCCCGCGACGGAGAGGCGAGCTAGGTCGGCCCCCGCCGGTACGGGTAGGGTACTTCACGCGCGCTAGGGACAGAGAGGCACGCTGGTGCACGGACGGGGGCGGGCGCGCGAGCCGCCATCTTGGACTGTGAGGCGAGTATTTGCAACCGGGAGCTCGCCGCCGCCCCTACACCGCCGCGGCCGCCCTCCCGGTGGCAGATAATAGCCCAAGTCGAAGAGAGAGTGCGCCCCGCCCTCGGTATCTGGGTGACAGGCGGGACTAGAGAGGCACGCTGGCGCACGGACGGGGGCGGGCGCGCGAGCCGCCATCTTGGACTGTGAGGCGAGTATTTGCAACCGGGAGCTCGCCGCCGCCCCTACACCGCCGCGGCCGCCCTCCCGGTGGCAGATAATAGCCCAAGTCGAACGAAGAGAGAGAGAGTGCGCCCCGCCCTCGGTATCTGGGTGACAGGCGGGACTAGAGAGGCACGCTGGCGCACGGACGGGGGCGGGCGCGCGAGCCGCCATCTTGGACTGTGAGGCGAGTATTTGCAACCGGGAGCTCGCCGCCGCCCCTACACCGCCGCGGCCGCCCTCCCGGTGGGCGGTGGCAGACAATAGCCCAAGTCGAAGAGTGCGCGCCCCGCCCTCGGTATCTGGGTGGCAGGCGGGACTAGAGAGGCACGCTGGTGCACGGACGGGGGCGCGAGCCGCCATCTTGGACTGTGAGGCGAGTATTTGCAACCGGGAGCTCGCCGCCGCCCCTACACCGCCGCGGCCGCCCTCCTGGTGGCAGATAATAGCCCAAGTCGAAGAGTGCGCCCCGCCCTCGGTATCTGGGTGGCAGGCGGGACTAGAGAGGCGCGCTGGTGCACAGATGAGGGCGCGAGCCGCCATCTTGGACTGTGAGGCGAGTATTTGCAACCGGGAGCTCGCCGCCGCCCCTACACCGCCGCGGCCGCCCTCCCGGTGGCAGATAATAGCCCAAGTCGAAGAGAGAGTGCGCCCCGCCCTCGGTATCTGGGTGGCAGGCGGGACTAGAGAGGCGCGCTGGTGCACAGATGAGGGCGCGAGCCGCCATCTTGGACTGTGAGGCGAGTATTTGCAACCGGGAGCTCGCCGCCGCCCCTACACCGCCGCGGCCGCCCTCCCGGTGGCAGATAATAGCCCAAGTCGAAGAGAGAGTGCGCCCCGCCCTCGGTATCTGGGTGGCAGGCGGGACTAGAGAGGCGCGCTGGTGCACAGATGAGGGCGCGAGCCGCCATCTTGGACTGTGAGGCGAGTATTTGCAACCGGGAGCTCGCCGCCGCCCCTACACCGCCGCGGCCGCCCTCCCGGTGGCAGATAATAGCCCAAGTCGAAGAGAGAGTGCGCCCCGCCCTCGGTATCTGGGTGGCAGGCGGGACTAGAGAGGCACGCTGGCGCACGGACGGGGGCGGGCGCGCGAGCTGCCATCTTGGACTGTGAGGCGAGTATTTGCAACCGGGAGCTCGCCGCCGCCCCTACACCGCCGCGGCCGCCCTCCCGGTGGCAGATAATAGCCCAAGTCGAAGAGAGAGTGCGCCCCGCCCTCGGTATCTGGGTGACAGGCGGGACTAGAGAGGCACGCTGGCGCACGGACGGGGGCGGGCGCGCGAGCCGCCATCTTGGACTGTGAGGCGAGTATTTGCAACCGGGAGCTCGCCGCCGCCCCTACACCGCCGCGGCCGCCCTCCCGGTGGCAGATAATAGCCCAAGTCGAAGAGAGAGTGCGCCCCGCCCTCGGTATCTGGGTGACAGGCGGGACTAGAGAGGCACGCTGGCGCACGGACGGGGGCGGGCGCGCGAGCCGCCATCTTGGACTGTGAGGCGAGTATTTGCAACCGGGAGCTCGCCGCCGCCCCTACACCGCCGCGGCCGCCCTCCCGGTGGCAGATAATAGCCCAAGTCGAACGAAGAGAGAGAGAGTGCGCCCCGCCCTCGGTATCTGGGTGACAGGCGGGACTAGAGAGGCACGCTGGCGCACGGACGGGGGCGGGCGCGCGAGCCGCCATCTTGGACTGTGAGGCGAGTATTTGCAACCGGGAGCTCGCCGCCGCCCCTACACCGCCGCGGCCGCCCTCCCGGTGGGCGGTGGCAGACAATAGCCCAAGTCGAAGAGTGCGCGCCCCGCCCTCGGTATCTGGGTGACAGGCGGGACTAGAGAGGCACGCTGGTGCACGGACGGGGGCGCGAGCCGCCATCTTGGACTGTGAGGCGAGTATTTGCAACCGGGAGCTCGCCGCCGCCCCTACACCGCCGCGGCCGCCCTCCTGGTGGCAGATAATAGCCCAAGTCGAAGAGTGCGCCCCGCCCTCGGTATCTGGGTGGCAGGCGGGACTAGAGAGGCGCGCTGGTGCACAGATGAGGGCGCGAGCCGCCATCTTGGACTGTGAGGCGAGTATTTGCAACCGGGAGCTCGCCGCCGCCCCTACACCGCCGCGGCCGCCCTCCCGGTGGCAGATAATAGCCCAAGTCGAAGAGAGAGTGCGCCCCGCCCTCGGTATCTGGGTGGCAGGCGGGACTAGAGAGGCGCGCTGGTGCACAGATGAGGGCGCGAGCCGCCATCTTGGACTGTGAGGCGAGTATTTGCAACCGGGAGCTCGCCGCCGCCCCTACACCGCCGCGGCCGCCCTCCCGGTGGCAGATAATAGCCCAAGTCGAAGAGAGAGTGCGCCCCGCCCTCGGTATCTGGGTGGCAGGCGGGACTAGAGAGGCACGCTGGCGCACGGACGGGGGCGGGCGCGCGAGCTGCCATCTTGGACTGTGAGGCGAGTATTTGCAACCGGGAGCTCGCCGCCGCCCCTACACCGCCGCGGCCGCCCTCCCGGTGGCAGATAATAGCCCAAGTCGAAGAGAGAGTGCGCCCCGCCCTCGGTATCTGGGTGACAGGCGGGACTAGAGAGGCACGCTGGCGCACGGACGGGGGCGGGCGCGCGAGCCGCCATCTTGGACTGTGAGGCGAGTATTTGCAACTGGGAGCTCGCCGCCGCCCCTACACCGCCGCGGCCGCCCTCCCGGTGGCAGATAATAGCCCAAGTCGAAGAGTGCGCCCCGCCCTCGGTATCTGGGTGACAGGCGGGACTAGAGAGGCGCGCTGGTGCACAGATGAGGGCGCGAGCCGCCATCTTGGACTGTGAGGCGAGTATTTGCAACCGGGAGCTCGCCGCCGCCCCTAGCTACACCGCCGCGGCCGCCCTCCCGGTGGCAGAGAAGTGGAAGCCCAAGAGAAGTGGAAGCTATGCTGGTCCTCTTTGAACGATCCGCGCGTGAAGGTAGGAAGCATAGGACCTTGTTGGCAGCAGCCAGCTTGTTGCGCTACTTCGTTGCGATGAGCTGATTGGGATCGCAGAAGTGCATGCCAAGCACCGCCACGATCTTGAAGCAGAACACATCGCAACCGCATATTCCGCACTGCCATCGGCATGCCGCGCCCGCCGCTTCGCCGCAGCCGCCTTACGGCACGCATAGCGGCAGCACAGGGACGGTGCGCGTACTTGAGCAGGAGTTGCGCGCCGCAAGTAGCGCACTGGCCCTGGGACAAGGCGATATGGCGTCGTGCGCGGCATACGTTGGTCGGGACGCGTCCAGGTATTTTTCGGGTAAACCTGGACTTTTGCAGGTATACCCGGGTTTTACCCGGAGCTGGCCTTGTGTCGTCTAAGTTCATGGCCCCCGGCCATACATAGCGTCTAAGTCCGAGCCCGGCTCCGTGCGGGGGCTAAGTTGAGCGCTCGCTCGCTGCAGAGGCTAAGTGTAGAGCGACCCTCTAGCCCTACTACCCAACCATTGGTAAACTGGACGAGAAATTTGGTCGACCGGGTAATCTGACACATGAGAGAAAAGGTAGCGGCCGGGTAGATCTAAGCTGACACATGAGAAATTGCGCTAAGCAGGAAAATATCGGGTATAATCTCTGCGCGAGGCGAATCTCACAAAAAAGAAAAACCGCTAACCGGGTATGCCGCCGGGGTGTAATGTCAAAACTCAAATGTGAAATTGATGCAATAAAATTAAAAAACATAACAAGGTTAAAAGCAATATGGAACACGATGGAACGTGAAGGACCACCTTAACTCCCACCGGTATATGCGGGCGGCGTTTCATCGTTCTCTCGCATTCGGCACGTCTGCGATCCACCGGGCAAACGCCCTCTCCGCGACGCGACAGCGGGGAGCAAACATCCTTCCCTCGGTGCCACGCGCCACGCCCACGCGAGAGGGATGGCGTAGTGAATTGAGCCAGCCGAGATGCCAGCCGCACGCCACCCAGAGCAGCGCGCGCAGACAGTCGCGAAGTGTTCTCAACGCGCTCTCGCAGAGCACCTGCCGGCGAGGGAGGGCGCTCCTCGACTTCAGACGGAGCAGGCCTGCGCCACTGCGGCGCACCTCGCCGGAATCGACCGAGATGGGCTCTGCGACCGCGATGCCCTGTGAGCAGAGAATGAGCGATCCCACCCAGGCCGCTCGCCGTGCGTGGTATCGATCCGTGGCGATGGACACGGAGGCGACGCCGCCGGCGGCGAGGTCCTCCACGACCGACGTGAAATTGGTGACCGTGTCGACGGCCCGGCAATCCACCAGCACCGGCACATCTGCGGCGCCGGCGCAGCTGGCTCTGGCTGCGGCCAGCTCGGCGGCGTCCGCACAGCCTGACGAGAGCAGCAATGCTGCCCGTGGACACCGCCGGCCTGCCGCAGCAGCACAGAGGAGCTCACGCCGAAGTGAACCGCCGAGCAGCAGGACAACTTGCGCTGGCGGCGGAGGGTCGGACGGTGGCCTGCAAAACACCTCGGACAGCATGCGAATCACACCCATTTCGACAGCGCTTGCTGGCCCAGCTTTTGGTCCGTGTGCCAAGTGTCGAGAGAGGAAAAAAGAATATGGGCCGTCCGCGGGCGCGCGGTGCGGCATGGCGTGTGCGTGTGCGCGACTGCAACGAAGGACCGCAGAGGACCATTGGGTTTGTACTATTAACAACGAAGGCGCTCTCAAAAAGAATATAAACAAAAGAACTCTCTCTCACAGCACACAGGCTCGACACAGACCGACTCGAGCGCGTTGTCGAGCAGCTCGTACACCGCCGTAAGCTGCGAGAAGATGCCCTCGAGCGTCTTGAAGATGTCGATCGACGGCGGGTTGTAGATGACGTGCCGCTCGCCGCGGCGCCGCACCGCCTGAATGTGCGAGAGTGCCTTGTGGAGCGCCGGGTCGTACGCCATCTCCTCGCAGAGTAGCTGCAGCATGATCTCAGCCGCGGGAACCCTCATCTCGTCTGACACCCGGCGCTTGATGTCGACGCCCGGAGGCACGAGCACCTCCGTCGCGTCGCCCGCGTCGCAGAAGTGCACGTGCAGGCGGCGCGGCGCGGCCATCGGCGTCGTGGCGACGCGGCGACGATCGAGGCGGGCACGCGCTGCACAGGGGTGCAACTCGTGATCAGCCTCCCGCAAGTCCAGAGCCGCGAGTCTCGGACAGGTCCCCCCCAATTTAGAGAAATCGCGCCGGCGGAGGAGGGGTGGAGGGGCCGCCTCCGAAGAGGAGACATCAAAAGCGACTACAGAGGCAATCGGGCGACGCCCGGAAGGCGAGCAAGGGACCGAACCGGACCGAACATTCGCTCTGACGGGCGGGGGACGAGGTCCCGGGGAACCGGGCGAAGTTTGGCCGTCGTGTGCGCGTACGTGACATGTGGTGTTGTGTCCGTGTCCACTAGCTCCGAGTAGAGGGGGCGTTCTGCAGTTAAGGGGAAACCCGGTACACGGAACCAACCCTCGGAGACCCGTGTTTACTTTATTTACGGCCCTTGCCCTGCGAACGCGCACCCCCGGGGCTAGGGCTCTCTTGCCCGCAACCCGATCCCGATCATCCGGCCCGCTGGGTGCGCTCCTCAGCTCCCCGGCCCTGGATGTGAGGCTGCCAACTGCACTCCAAGTGCTCCAAGTGCAGATTGGGACGCAATCTACTTCTTGCAGGACAAAAACGCGCGCTCTTCATAACGGCTTTGCCCCCTCCGTCATCGGAGTCACTTGTGTTACGATATCACCACGCCGCCACGCTCGCAAGGGCCGCCTAAGCGCCTAAGCACCCTAAGCACCCCCGCTTAGGCCGCTTAGGCGCTTAGGCGAGTGACGGCCGACTCCCCGGGGCCTGGCGTGCCTCCGCCGTGGGCTGAGCGCCTGGGAGAGCCACTCAGCAAGTGGTGTGCGAGCGTGTAGCCTTTAGCGTGCAGTCGGCCCTTCAGCCGTGTGTACGTTGCACGTACTTTTAGCTTACTGGGAGGAAAGGGAGAGGGGGGGGGGGTGTTCTCTAGGCCCCTACAGGCCCTACGCGCGGCGTGAGAGCTCGGAAGCGAGCTTTGCACGGCGATGATGCATCGAGGATGGCGCGGTTCACCCCCTTCACCGAAGCAAGCGATGGAGATGCGTTCCGCGTGGTGTGACACAAACGAGAGGCGGGAGTGGGGAGGGTAGGCGGTGCGGTCAACGCCCGAGCGCTGAGCCTTGCGTGCGAGACGGTTGAACTTTGCAACTGCAGGCGGCGAGAAGTCGCCGCCGAAACCCCGAATGTCTCGTGGAGAAGATCCCATCATGACAGTGGCCCCGCTGCGACTTGACGTAGCCCTGGCCGGTGGTGTGGTCGAATGCCCGTTGACCACGGAACCCACGTTGCTTGCAGCCCATGTTTGCAAGTCAAGGCGAACCCGTGACGAAAAACGGACACACACCAAGCGCTAAGCGTGATGACGTGAGTTCGAATTCGGAGGTGCATCTGAGCAAAATTGGGCCCGCTCAGGTGTGAAAAAAATTATAAGGGTCAAGGTGCCGATTCGATCCGGAGGCCACTCGATCCTCGAGCGGCGGACGGCTCGGGTTGGCAGCATAGATGATGGACTGGAGGAGGTGTCACTCAACGTCCGATCATATAGCCCCAAAAAATAATAAATAACACATTAAAAAAACCGAGGGAATTCACCACACACACCGACGCCCGAAGTGCCAAGAAGGACGTCACCAGTACGAAACCTCAGAAGGCCATGGAGGCAGCAACCGGCCAAGGGGCTGCGCGCCACGTGAGGCTCCGCCCAGGCGCCACTAACTAGTCTGCGGGCGCGAGCGCATGCTCGGCCTGACGCCGAGGGCGGAACGTGCGGCCGCGGGATCCACTAGGTTGGCGCGAGCTACTTGTGCTCGGGGCGCCAGCAAAGTGCACGTTCCCAACGCCGGGGTGGATCGTGTGCCGCCCGGTGCGTCGCGGGTCTCCAAACTTGCTAAGTTGCTATTGAGAGGTAGGTTGCGGCGGGGACGACCCCCGTCGCCCTCAGCATGTACGTTTTGTAATTATTCAGCGCCGCAGGTGGTGCAGGAGTTCCCAGGAGAGTCACGAACGGCAAACCAACTATTTTTATGCGCTAGAGAGCGATCGCCAAGAGGGCCCAGACTCTGAGCAGCAGCCCGCCTGGTCATGCGGCCCACTTGCCGACGTGCGTCCAGCTTCCACTATAGGACGAACGTCGAAGTTTGCTCTCCGACGTCGTGCCGAGCGAAACCTTTTCCTTCGAAGCTCACAGCGACGTAGCCGGACGAGCGGTCCGGATCGAATAGGGCAGCCCTAGAGAGCACCTTGAGGCCGTTCAATAGAGCCCGTGTTATAGTCGAGGGTCGATCGCCGGCCGGCGCAGTGCTGCTCTGACCGCTCCGCCGGGCCGCCTCCGGGCCGCCGCCGCGGAGACGTGCACAGGCACATAGGCAAGTTGGCATTTTCATATATGAACTTCAAAATAGTATTGGCTAGTCTAATCCTACTCATCACAACTCGCCAGGAACACCCCCACACTATAGGGTCATTGTGTAGCCCTGCTTAGAAGGAAAAGGTTTTGTGCAAGGTCCGTATGGCTCACCGTGTAGTCGGCCTGAGAGAGATGGGCGCTGCCGCGCATATGCGGGCCCCGTCCCAGCGTGCCGCACGAGAGCGTCTCGGTCAGACGCACAGCGAGCCGAATGCTCCCCAGAGACCGTCGCCGGCTTGCGTGATCAGTGGGCCGACAGTGTCTCGCGTGCAGTCGTCGAGGACAGAGGCGGCGTCCTGCAGCGCGGGTGGGAGGGCGGCGCGGCGCTTGAGGGCGGCGGACGCTCCGATGGCGGCAGGGGTGGGCTGAGTCGGGCGGCGGTGGTGGTGGTGACGAGCAAGGACGGGCTCTGCGGTGGTGCAGCAGACGGAGGCGCCTGGATGCCCAGAAAGATGCAGACGTTGGTCTCGTCCTTGCAGTTCCAGACATAGTTGAAAAAGACCGGGACTGCGCCTGCGGAAGGCGGAGAGCGCTTCAGCCAGCAGAGCGCGAGGGCACGCGGTTGGGAGGCGCACCGGCATAGTCGCCGATGATGGTCGGGAGGTCGCATGGCAGCTCGTCGGTCGCCCGTGGCTCGGCCTGTAGGAAGGCTGCAGGTACCTCTGGGGCAGCCGCCGCGACCTGCTCCGCAAATTTGGCCGGCTTGGACGGCTCGAGCTCGGACGGCTCGACCGGCGCGCCGGATACGACAGCGAGGAGGCCGACAAAAGATGAGAACAGCACCGCGTCGCAGGCGATCAGCTTCGGCGGGAAACCCATGCCGACCAAGGTGGTAAGGAAGGGGTGGGCTCGCCGCCAAATTATGTCACGTTTCAAAAGAATTTACAAAAAGCAGTGAGCGCCAGTCCCGTGCCCAGTGTCGTGCGAGCAAAAAAATCGAACAGCCCGCCCCTCTACAGCAGAAACTCCTCTCCTTAAAATCCCTGTGTGGTGGCGGCGTGCCGTCCTCCCATCCCTCCCATTCCAGATGTTGTGTCAAATCGTCTCTTTCAAACTGACGCGGGCCCAGAACCTCGATGAGGTGACTTGGACCACCAAAAGCTGGCTGGGGCTGCAGAAGCAGCGTATCTCAGTCGTTCTTCATACGGCCATCGCAGAGCAGATTGTGAATTAGCTTGCCTGCGGCGAGGGCGGTCGAGTGCACGGAGCTAAGTGCCTCGCCGTCCTCGCAGGAGTCGCTTAGGCGGCTCCCGTGGTGTACCTGTGTTAGTGCCAGTGCGCGCCAGTCCCGTGCCCCGTGTCGTGCGAGGGAATTTTGTTGCAAAATTCTTTCTTTCAGCAGACTGGCTCGGACTGGCACTACGAAAGGCAAGAGAGATTGTTGGTTTTCAAAAAATCTCTCTCTGAAAGCTAAGGCACAGGCAACAAGCAAAAGAATTTTACAATCAAACTCCATCTCACGACACTAGGCACGGGAATTCTCGCACTGCTGGACACGTTTCTCGTTGGCGTCCGTTATATTCACACGTCGTCCTCCGACGAGTCGGCGTCGGAGTCTGGGGGGGTGGGAGGGTCGGGGCGCACCCGCTCGCGGTCCTTGGTGCTTGGTCGCCTTGCCGCCCGCTCCGCCGCCGTCGCCGCCGCCACCGCCGCCTCCCGGTGGGGGGTCCTCCCCGTCGGGTGCGACGGGCTGGGCGGATTGAGCCTCGAGCCGCTCGAGCCGCTTGCGAAGCACTCGTAGCTCCTCGGCCGAGTCCTTTGGCGCGGATTTGCCCACATCGTTGGGCGCACGGAGGGAAGGAGAGGTGGGCTCCTGCCCGAGAAGGTCGCGGGACCTGCGCAGAGCTCGCTCTGCGTGATGCCGCTCGAGCTTGGGCGTGCACGCAAGGGGTCACGCGCAAGCAAGAGCAAACAACTGGGAAGTTCACAGCTGAGCTTACCCAAAGAACGCCGTTCTCCCCCATATAACCTTCGCGTGGGCGTGCCGCGTCCACGTCCTGTTTTTGTCACCTGATCACGTGGCCATCCGCCTGAAGTTTCTAGTTTGTAAAATTATATATTTGCGATTTGGCTTTTGTCTAACTCTTTATTTATTTATTTAACACTGGACAAATATATTCTTTTTCCTTCGCGGCAACGCGATGGCGGCAAGGCCTCTCTGCGCGCCCGCCCTCGTCACGCCGAAGACCAACCGGCGTCGGACCGCGGTGAGACCACGCCGCCCCCCGCGCCCGCCCGCGCCCGCAGCGTGAACACATACGCGCGTCCCTCATCGCACGGAAACATACGCGCCAGCCGCGCAGCAGCCTCACATGCAGCGCCGACCGCATGCTCGCGCCCTGGGCCGCCGACGACCCGGTCGGGCGGGTTGCGCGGCCGCCGCACACCACCAGGCAGGCGCGCGACCACCCGCAGCACGCCGCAGCCCACCGCGCAGCCCTGCCAGCCAGGCCTGCGCCTCAAAGACCCACAAACAGGCGCACAGCAGAGTACAGCACACAGCACACGCCGGCGGCGCGCGCGCAGCACACGCAGACGCACGCGCGGATCCAACACGCACACGCGCACAGCACGCGCGCGCCGCACGCCAGCGCAGCGCCACACACAGAGCCATTCCCATCAGCAGCAGCAGGCCTGCCACAATCCACATCTCACACACGCGCGCGCACACTCCCCCTTACCGGCGCACGCATTGGGCGTCGCCGAGAGCTCCCAAAGCTGACTTGTGTGGCTCTTTTCCTCCCCCACCCCCCCTTTTTCTCCTTGCTCGCTTATTTCCCTTTCCCCCTCGTTCCATTTTATTTTTTATCCCTCCGTCGCTTTTACTTCTCCCGGTTGTAGCCTTTTTGTCTTGCGGCGGTTTTACCCCCCGGCCTTCAGCCATACGGGGTTTTTTTGCCCTGCTTCTTT